GGGGGGGGGGGGGAAGCTACCAGTCAAAGTGTTTTTCAGCAATGTGGTGCAATTGTCTCACTTTCAGCAACATATGACCATGTTGTTGATTAGTGGTTGGAAGGGAACTAGCTACCAATCAATGATTAATAACAATATGGTATATGTTGGCAATACTTAAGTTCATTAGGAAATTTTAGCAACATGGTTCTTGTTGTTGATATTAACTTTCAGTAACATGCCCCTTGTTGCTAAAAGTTAATCTAACTATTTGAGAATTTGGTGATATAGAGGTATCAACAACAAGGAGAATGTTACTGCAAAGTGACTTTCAGCAACATGCTCCTTGTTGCTGAAAGTTTAGCCCACTCACCCCATCGGAGAAATGCATCTAAATTTTAGCAATATTGGCCTTGTTGCTGATATTAACTTTTAACAACATGCTCTTTGTTGTTGAAAGTTAATCTCACTTTTTTGGGTGTGTTGTGCTATAAAGGTATCAGCAACAAGGAGCATGTTGTTAAAAGTCATTTTCAGCAACATGCTCCTTGTTGTTGAAAGTTTAGCCCCTAAACCCCAGCCAGAACAATAGATGAAAATATCAGCAACTTGGCCTCATTATTGAAATCCATTATTAGCAACAAGAGGCATGTTACTGAAAGTTGAGTTGACTTTTTAAGATATTGGCTAATCTATGAGTATTAGCAACATGGAGCTTGTTGGTAAAAATCTATATCACCAACAAGCAATTCCATGATGCTGATGGTTAATTGCTAAAAAGAGGGATTTTAGTAGTGTTATCATTGAACATACAGGTATCTATAACCAGTATTTATAATTTGTTATAATTGTAATGAATAATAGTAACAAATTTTTTCATTATAAGCCTATATTCTCTTTGTGATCATGTGGCAATGACAAAATATCTCTTTAGCGTTGAATTTTTTCATCATCATTGAATATGTGTGTATTTGAGACTAATTTTTAATATATGTCACAGTTTTAGTGAGTTATAACGATAATTTTAAAAATTTATCACAAATTTTCGTCACTAAAAACACTTTCTCTTTAAGAAATGAGATACATTCAATGGGATTCTTTTCTTAAAGAGCTTTCATCATTTGCTACTGAATATGATATTGATAATCCTAATATGGTTAACTTAATGCGTTAAAATTCATTAGCAAGTTATTAGTCACTCAAGTAATAAAGTGATAAATAGAGTATCATTTCCATAGAGATTATGACTAATTAAGTATAAAAAATAATTAATTGAAGAATTATTTGAACAAATTAAAAGGAAGAATTTCTAACTAAAACTAACTAAAATAAAATAACAATTTAACATAAAAGCACTAAGATATGAGATACTAAAGTGTCATACTTTACTATAATCAATCAATATAGATTTTAAATTATTATGCTTTCAAGATGTTTATTACTCATGTGATAGTGAGATTTCCTATCTTAATCAATATATTTTATCAAATTATACCAAACATATCTTTACCTATTAATCAACTATATTTCTATATGAGTTTAAATAGATAAAAATACATTATATTCTATGAAATTCTTTGATTTACGTAGAAAATCAAGTTCACTTATTACTAATGTTGCACATATCATATTAGTCCATCTTTGGTTTTCGTTCAAATTTTGGTATATATTATTAGAAATTATTATATAAAACCTCTTATCGATCTTAATTATGCTATTCAAATCAATTTTAAAGATGATTAAATATTAAAAAGCATTAAAAACAATAATATATACTCACTAGAATTGAGATCAGCTTTAATGACATAGCAATCCCCAAAACATAAAAATTACAAATTAATTATGCTATATTGTAACTTTAGTTGACTAAATTAGTTTATAATAGGGTTCATTTCAATGTTCTTAATTGCACTTGGGCCTTCGAGCCGAGTGGCGTCAAGCCATGCATAAGTGCATTCCCCCATCCCCAGGGCAACGATTCAAATCTAACCCCTTGTGAATTTGTTAAAAAAAAAATTAATTTATAATAAAAATATGAAGACTTGAAATCATAGTTATGAATATAAGGATATCAACCAATAAATAAAGATAATTTAAGAAAAAAACAAAACGTAATACAAGGAAATTAAAATTCTTAATTTTTTATTATTTATAAATTCTTTATTATTTTCTCTATTTTCATCTTCCAGAGTATTTCAAAAGGAGCTGCCAAAAAGCCTCCCCAAAGCACCCTAAATTCTAATCTAAAATGAGTATTTATAAAATTTTAAGAAATCTAATTGGTATTGACACGTGGCCACACCAAAATAACAATGACTGGACTTGGACTTGCGGAAGTTGGCGAAGTGGTCGATGCCCTAAACAAGGTGCCGAAACCTTTACTAAATCGGTCACTGAAAAGTCCGAAACGGACTTTTGGGCACTAATCCCTAACTTCTGCTTTCTGCGCACTTTAATCCTTAAGTGACTGATCTCTGCTGTTTGATCCTAAAAGTTACGATTTCTTCCAAATGAGTCTTTTTCTACACAAAGAATAAAAATTGTGTAAAATCAAATAATAAAATCTCATAAACTTCATCTAAATATCAATAATATCAAGATAAAAATTTCACATTAATATCTTTGAAATTCCAACTTATCAATGACATATTCTTACTTAATGGGAGATCATGTTGGAATGTTTAAGACTCTAAAAATTTTCATTATTATTATTATGACTTGTTCAATCCTATTATTGATGTACAACTTCAAGAGTTGAAAAATAGATTCAATGAAGTGAACACAAAGTTTCTTCTTTGTGTTGTGTACTTAGACCTTGGAAATTCTTTTACTGCCTTTAATAGACAAAAGCTTACTTTTAGCTCATCAGCTTATACTATAACATTTTTAGCTCCTCATCTTATTAGATTTATAGGTTTTAACCCTTCATTTTATACTATGACACTTTTAGCCCCTCACTTATTAAAATTGAATAAAGTAGCTCTCACTTTGTAATATTTTATTAGTTTTGTTAGTTGATTGTTAACTTTATTAACTGACTGTTAATTGACTGTTAGCTATCAAAAATCTTTTTTCAGTTAATAGAGTTAACAGAACTAACTTTATAATATTTTGTTAATTTTATTAATTGGTTATTAGTTGACTGTTAATTGATAAAAATTTATTTTTAACTAACAAAGTTAACAATCAATATAAAGTGAGGGTTATTTTCTTCGATTTTAATAGGTGAGGGGCTAAACCTACAAATCTAGTAAGATGAGGGATTAAAGTGTCATAATAAAACGTAAAGAGTTAAAACCTTCAAATTTGGTAAGGTGAGGGACTAAAGTAGGTTTTTGCCCATTTAATAAGAACACGTTACTTTCGTTTGCTAAACTTTATCCTCAACACTTCTCACCATGGAGCTTCTATGTTTTAGCAATCAACTTGAGAATTTCATTTGTGATTAGCTTAGAGATGATGCATTTTTGCAAGTAAAAGTTTCGAGACATCTTGCAAAAAAGATGGTGGATACACATAAGAACATAATATTTCTTCTTGTGAGAAATTAGTTCTAATTCTTCTAGTTGTAACTACAAGCCTTAAAAGAGTATTTTCAACTAGAAATGTTGTGAAATGCAAATTGTGGAACTATATGGGGGATGAATGGCTAAATGATAATTTGATGACCTATGTCGAAAATGAAACATTTGATCTTATTGATAAAAGATGTAATTTTTGGTAATTTTCAAAAATGAATACTCATAAAGGTATTCACTTTTATACCTTTATTTGATATCATCATAATTTGTTATTTAGCTACTTTTTTCTTGTATTAAAACAACATATTTTGTTGAATTAAAAAAACTCTTTTAACATATACTTGTAGCTATTTTGTTGGACTAAAAAAAATTACGTTATTATAATATATTTAGGTTAAAGAGGACAAACCTAATCACCCTCCTCTCTTCCTCTTCTCTCATGTTTTCTTATTTAGATAAATAAATGAATTAAAAAAATAAAATAAAAGAGACAAAAGGTTTCTTTTTCCTCTCTTCCACTCAAATGAAACATTCTAAGAATTTTCCTGCATCATAAAACTTATTAATTTGGCCTTTTATTTGGCAATATGCAAATTGACCATTTGCTATTCTATTTTTCTCTCTCTCAATCTCTTTCTTTCTTTCTTTCTTTCTTTTGTCGCCATCATCTGGCCAGTTGCTTGAAGCATATTTTTTCTGACAACTTTGTCCAAAAAAATAATTTTAACTTGCATAGCATTATTAGTGGTATAACTTTTATAGAATGTTGAGGGCCAACCATCCATTAATATTTAGCCGACTGTATTTTACATTTTTTTATATTTTTATATTAATATATATGATGTTGTAGAAAAATAGTATAGTTTTATATTAAAAACATTAATACATTTAAACATAACCACAACATAAACAAGATATATTATAAATTTTGATTAAATTTTATTTATTTATTTATTTTTTAAACATATTTAAAAGAATCAAAATTAAACCATTACCCAATAAAAAAATATATTTTAACATAATTTTGTTGTCACTGAATTCAAACGTCCATTGTGACTAAATCTTATTTATTATATATTTAAAATCAAATATTTTAATATTTTAATTAACAAATAGCTTGATTTCCACTTATAAATATATAGACGCGGCGGAACCATTTTACATTTCCAGATCACAGCCTCTACTGCCATCCAGTTTTAGATTTGCTTCCACCGAACCCCCAATCACACGCCACGTGGACTCCCACTCTCCTATTGTACTGAAACGTATGCATTCCATAGCTACAGAATCCTTCCCCTCTCTCCTGTCCTTCTCACTTCATTGTTGTCTTCTTCAATTTTAAACTGTGTTTCCAAAATTCTTCTCACATCAAAGAAATATAGCAGCTTTTTCCCTTGGAGAGAAAAAAAAAAAAAAAAGTGAGAGAAACTCGGATTCTTATTCAAGTCAAGAATCGTCTCTTTGGGTCAGTTTGCTTTGGTTTCATTTCATTTCATGTAGAAACTTATGGGTTTTTGCTTTGAACTTCTTTCATCTTCAATTCATTTTTGCTAGGTTTAAAGGAAATGGGTGATCTCTGTTTGTCCTTTTTGTTGGTATCATTGCTTGATTATTATTGACAAACTACAGTTTTGATATATTTTTAACTTTGAGTTTTCTAACAATGAAAGCAGTAAGTCATGATTTAGAATTATTGCTTTCATATGATTTGTTGGTTTCTTTCATTTGTTCTCCTCCTGCCCTTAATTAATTGCATCTTTTCCATGAAGATTGGAGACTTTCCTTTTTTAATATTTTTTTTCATATAATCTACAAGAACAAAGTATGAACAGAATCCAAGCTTTACTCTTTAATTAATTCTAGTTTAAGTTGTGTTGTTTTACTATAGAGTGTTTGCACATATGGTATATTATAAATCCAATTCAGCAGCTTGTTTGCTTAAGAATTAATTAATCACTAGTTTATTATTTGTCAACTCAGTCAAATATTGGGGGATAGTCATATTTACTAGTTCTTTTAGATAAGTTGTTAAATGTTTTCTGTGTTTCTTGGTTACAGAATATATATGCATCTTCTTTGGCCATGAATCATTTTATTTCTGAATGGAATTTTGAAGCTGATCTTCCCATCTCCAATCATTAAGAAACCAATGGGGTCTGTACACTTGCTCACTTGAATGTCAATTTGTTTAAACATTCTATTTCAGTCTTATTTTAATATAAGGTGAAAGAAAAGGGTATAAGTTTCATTAAACCATCTCAATTCGATTGGTCAATTTTGCAGAGAGGACAATGAGCTGGTAGAGCTCTTATGGCAGAATGGTCAAGTAGTTTTGCATAGCCAAACTCATAGAAAACATGGTGCTAATCAGAGTGAGTCTAGACAAGTGCAGCAATATGAGCAACCAACTACGACTAGGGGTGGTATGTCATACGGGAATTCGGGTGGTTTGATTCATGATGATGAGACAGTTTCATGGATCCATTACCCAATTGAAGATTCATTTGAAAAAGAATTTTGTTCTGATTTTTTCTCTGGATTGCAGACGTCTAATGCAGTAGAGGCAGATAAGCATGATAGACAATTAGAAAAAGAAAGATTTGTTAAGTCTGCTGCCTCAACTGGTATTAATGTCATTGCAAACCCACAAGAGCTAAATGTTAATTCTGTTGTACCAGCATTTCCTAGAAACCCAACTACACCCTGTAAATTTCAGATTGATAGAGCCTTTCAAGGTAAAAGGTTAGGAAATTTGGTTGAAGATATTAATTTTTCCCAATTTTCAGCACCATTTAAGGGTCATATGGGAGGATCATCCAATGGACAGTTTGAAGGAGAAGGGAATGGCAATATGACAAGAGAATCTTCAGTGATGACATTTGGGTCCAGTCACTGTGGTAGCAACCAAATACGAAATGACATTGATTTCAGCAGAGCATCCAGTGATGGCATTGGGACTACTAATGGTTTATCTGCAGGATCCATGAAGGATAATGTTCAAAAAGAGGTCAGTAATAGTGAAATTGGAAGAACTGCGACACTTGAACCAGCTGTTACTTCTTCTGATGGGTCTGGCAGTAGTTTTGATAGAACATGCAAGGAATCTACTGGGGTAGGTAGCCAAAAGAGAAAAAACATGGATGGGGAGGAAACAGAGTGCCAAAGTGAGGTGAAACTTGCTTTTATGTATTTCTCTTTTCTATAGGGATATTGTTAAGGTATAAATATAACCGTCTGCTTTTAGGCTGTTGAACTTGAATCAGCTGCTGGAAACAAGCTATCCCAAAGAGCCAAGCCTCCCCGCCGGAGTCGAGCTGCAGAAGTGCATAATCTTTCGGAAAGGGTGGGCTTGCAGATAACTCATAGCATTTTTTATGCTCTGGCTTTTCCATGTAGTTAAATAAAATCTATTCTGGTATATTTTTGCAGAGACGGAGGGATAGGATTAACAAAAAGATGAGGGCATTGCAAGAGCTAATACCTCACTGCAACAAGGTTTTTCTTACTTCTTTTTAGCCTGGTCTTGCTAAATTGTTACTTATGGTTTTACTTAAATATCCAATCATTAATTAAAAATTCTTTCTAGAGGCATATGTCTTCCTTTTAGAGAATGATGAAATAAACTTATTGTAAAACACATCCAAATAACAAAATTTTAAAATAATTTGTCTTTTGGACTGCTATGAGGAATCAACTCCCTATATGACCCAACAAGGACAATGCTAATGCATGTTGTTATATGTGATACAAATTCAAGGTAAGGTGATTAACCATTGGTATAGTTTGGCGTTTTTCTATGAAAATAAAATATATACCAAGAGTCAACTGGTATAAATTAGCAGACCTGATTTGTGTATTGATTTTCTATTCATTGATTGCTTTCTCATTGAATGAGTCCTAATGCTGCAGACAGATAAAGCATCCATGCTAGATGAAGCAATTGAATACTTGAAGTCACTTCAGTTACAGCTGCAGGTATATTTTGTTTCATTTTTGTTTCTTTTTAAGACAAATGAAAACTGATCTTGGCATTATCACTTGGCTGTGATGAAAATCTGTGTAGGTGTCTCAGGTAATGTGGATGGGGAGCGGAATGACTCCATTGATGTTTCCAGGAGTCCAACATTATATGCCCCGCATGGCTATGGGAATGAGTCTACCCACAATGCCTCCAATTCACAATTCTATGCATCTTCCAAGGATTCCTGTAGGGGATCATTCTGCAGCTATGGCTCCTCCACAAAACCAGGCTGTAATGTGCCAAACTCAAGTACCAAATCCCGTTAGATTTCAAAACCATTTGCAGAATTCCACTTTGCCTGAGCAATATGCCCGGTACATGGGCTTTCACCACATGCAAGCTGCCTCACAGGTTTCTCATCACTCCTGCAACGTTTGGCTTCCTAGAACAAATAAAATGCCCTTAAACTAATGTCTTATGTTGACTTATTGGGTGTTTGCAGGCTATGAATATGTTTGGATATAGTTCCCAGACGGCACAACAGAGCAAAATGACATCACAGCCAGGCAGTGATTGCAGGCCCCCGGCTGGAGGAGCTTCTGCAAATGGTGATGCTTCTCTTCAATAAGTGGAGACAACAGAACTGTTGCTTGTTGCATGATTAACGAAATAAGAGCTTAGTGTTTACTCATCGCATGATTGAGGAAATATTTCATGCCATGAAATTGTAAAACATTTTCTCCTACGTCTTATAGATGTTGAAGCAGGGGCTTTTTTATACTTAATACAAAAAGTGGGAAGAAAGAATAGTTATTCTAATCCGTCTCATTTCCATGCTAATGTTTTTGCAGTCTATCTGCATGAGCAATTCAGGTACATGTTTGAAAAAGGGATTTTGCCAAGTCCTGTGGCACTTCTTTAGATTATCATTTTGGGAAATTAATATTCCTTATTCTACATATATATATATATATTTTACTTTTAATATTTATGGTTGGGCACCTTGGACCAACTTTTATCTATCTCAATTAGTTTATTTTCAAACAATTTTAAATGTACACCCTGCGCATTGGTTTATTGTATTTAAAATAATTAATTTTTTTAATTGTTGGTCTCAAAATTTAAATTTTGAATATGACTTATGAAATGACACTCATTGATTAATAAATCTAACTTTTGAGGTTTATTCAACATAATTGTTGAATGGAAGGGTTAAATATCAAATTAAAGGCAAGTAGTTGTGGTAGTATTATCCTGCTCCTCATATTTATGGATAATCTGCGATGGTTGTTTTCAAAGAAATTTTTCACACTTTATTTTCAATTGAATTCATTTTTGTGCAATTTTCTCAAGCCACTAGTGTCACCATCGAACCGCTTCCACTTTGTTAGCATCATTTTGTTTTTGCTATTCCGATGTTAACAGGTTAATCTGAGAGAAGGAATTCTTAACAGATGCTTATGGTCCCCTTGGAGGGGCCGTAACAACTAACAAGTTGGTGGGAACTTTCATTTCTCCTAGTATCCATTGCGTTTTGGTCCAAAAACGTGCTTGCCAAAATTATTGGGGCGGCTGAGCTGATGTGAATGCAAAGGTTACTCCCAATATTCAATTTCTCAACGGATCGTGAAAGAATCCAGGATGAAGGAAACCTTGGATACTGTTGATGACCAATTAAAAATTTTAAAAATTTATATGAATTAAAAAATTAATGAAAAATTAAGTGTGAAAAAAAAAAGAGTCGTTATTTGTCTAAATTATAAAGTAAAAAAGTCACCTCAAATATGATCTATATAGAGATTAGAGTTTGAGGGATCAATTAAGAGTGAAGAAAGGAATATGTGCACCTCACAATTTTCATATAAAATACAGTTGCATACTTTGACATTTAAGAATTTATTCAACCTCTTTTTTGGTTTCTGTTTCCTCTATTTTTCATTAAGTAGACTTTAAAAAGTAAATGGATGAAATTGTAGAGCTTGAAAACCCTTTGACTCAATTTAAACAAAATCAAACATATGCATGCACAATTGCAACAAAATTTGAAGTGGAAGGTCTGATTTGATTGAATTCGAAATTTAGAGGACTGATTTGAAAAGAAATAAAACTGGTGAGCCAAATTGCTTGATCATAGAAAGAATTTTTGAGTGAAATTAGAATTTAATAAAAGACAATTTTAACCTTTTTTAATTTTGACCTGATTAAAGAAATTAAAAAGGATAAAGACTGATTAATCAAAATAATTGATTTAATTAAATAATTAATTATTAATTAAAATTATCCATATATCCTCTTGCCGCCACTAGGGTTTCTTCGCGACAGTCAAGCCCTTCGCCTAGGCGCTTCTCCTTGTTTTCTTGTAGGGCTTCTCCCTCGGTTTCTCTTTTTGTTTCTTCCCATGGCTCATCCACTTATGTTGGCCTAGACTTACCGCAATCTCGGAGAGGTTTATTTGATTTTTGAGTCAACTCAATCATGCCTCCAACAAAAGCCGAACCCTACTTTGCTCCTTGCATCACAGCAATCGGGAATGGAGATGATTTTGTTCCGAATAGATCTAGGGTTGGCTCACTGTTTCGTGTGCAATTGTGTTGAGAAAAGGGGTGGCTTGAATCTGTTCTGGTAGGATGAGTTTGCCTTTCAAATTTCCTCTTTCTCGCCATTATTAGATCTAGGGTGGGCTTTGCTGTTTTGTGAGCAATTGTGCCAAGAGAAGCCATCTCACATTGATGTTGTAATAGTAGATCCGGGTGGATGTTAATGGCCATTAACAGGGTTTTTCGGCCAACCAAAGATGTATTCCCCTCCGTTGTGGCTGCGTTTAGGCACCATCAATGCTACCTTGAGCAAATCAGAAAAGGAGAGGGGCATTCTCTTCTTCCGGTTGGGTTCTGCGTGGGGGGATATAAGTGGGTTTTGGTGTGGAAGGTCAAATTTCCATGCTGTGAAGGAAAGTGATGGTGTTCTGCAAGGGCAGTATAGCCCTCAAGTTGGTAAAGGGGCTCTAGATCCCTTATTAACCTATGGTAGCTAGGGATTGTTGAGGATTGGAACAGATGGGCATATGTTTGGGTGCACCTGCAGACGAATAGGGTACCTGGCGACTGCACAGAGGAGGACCATACCCCTCCTCTTGCTTATTATTTTTTAAGAATAGCTTGGATGGCAACCTATAGTTTGGGGACTGTTTGTTGCGAAAATTCGTTCTCTCCCCGAGAAGCTGGTTAACTAGGTGAGGACGTCCAATAGCTTTCGATGCTTATAGGGACCTTCCTTTCTACATTAGTAGCCCTATTTAACCCATATAGCGATTGCAATTGCAATCTCTAATTGCAGATGGCTCTCTTTACTTAATTGTCTGTATTTGTCATGGACATAGTTTAAATCTGTTACTAGGCTGTAGGTTATGCTTTTGATTCTACTTTTTAAGCTCTCATGCGTTAGGCTATATGCCATGTGATGGAGTTTTTACTGTACTTTTCTTATTATTCAATATATTTCTTCATTTCTTATCAAAAAAAAAAATTCTTAATTAAAATTAATTAAAACAATCAATTACCTTAATTAACCCTTCTTTGAATAATTAAATTAATCCAATTGCCTTAATTAAAGTTAATTAACTGTAATCAATTGATTTCAATTAAGATCAATTAAACTAATTAATCACTTTCTTAATCAATTATTAAGATTTTGTAATTTTCATTTGTTAGGCCAACCTCCGGTTATACGACAAACAGGCCATGATCCATTTTGAAATCTAATCTATTTTTGCCCATGGCTTCTAAACTTACTGGGTCGGGTCAACCTGATCCACAAACATGATTCATGTATTAATTCGGGTCCAAACAGATCAAACTTAGCACAAATTGGGGATTTTTTAGGTTTCTTCATTGTTTTTTTTTAATCGATCAAGCTCCTAACAGCAAAAAGAAATCAAACAGGATATCAAGCAAATTTCATATGTAACAAACAAACAACCAATAATGAGGAAAGCAAATCCAATATTCTTAAATTAAGATCATCATTTACAAGAACTGCAGCCAACCAAAAAATTGAACGGTAGAACTTTGGGTGGCCGATTCAGAGTTCGATCTGTGTGCCCCTCCCACGGGATATGCCCAGATCATTCCCCTTATCATTGCTCCAAAGTTCCTCTATTTTAGAGAATACCCAAAGGAGACGAGACTGATGATTGAGAGGCGAAAGAAGGATCCTAAGGCTGTCTGGTTGCTGTGAAATGGAGAAGATAATGTTGGAACTTAAATATTTTAATAAAAAAATAAAATAATATATTTTAGAAATTAAATTTATTGTCTCATTAAGGACTTTGTCAAACTAGTCGTTGTAGGTTAATTGTCCTATTTAAGGGCACATTATTTCATAATAATTGTCCAATTTATTCCTATCATTAACCTATAAATGGAACTAGCTGTTGTAGGTTAATTATCCTATTTAAAGGCATATTATTTCATAATAATTGTTTAATTTATTCCTATCATTAACCTACAAATGGGAGTTACAAAACCATGGGTCCTATAAATAGGACATATCTTTTTGCTCAAAAAAGAGGTTCCTCCACATTTCTCTTTTCTTTCTTACCTTACTTTATTTTTTAAATATTTTGGGTAAAGAAGGGTGTTTTGAGTAAGGTAACTCTATGGGTAGTGCAGATCCATAGAGTGTTATTATAAAGCTGTAGGATCCTGAGGGCAACATGCTTTATGTATTTTTGCTATACCGATTGATCTACTCTCAACAGAGGCGTGAATAGCCTTAAAGTAAGTAAGTTTTTCACGTCTATTTCAATGATATTTTCTTATCGATATTTTTTGATAAGTTCATTAATTATTATTTTATTTGATCTTGTGATCGAGGCATAACAATGACATGATGTGGAGTTGGAGGAGAGTATTCAAGGAACAACAATTTGAAGGCGATTCAATTTTGTGCCTCCATGAAAGCTTTTGAGAACCAAAGTGGAAAAGGCTTTAGGTTGATATATTTCAAAATGTAAGTTAAATTTTTAAGCTTATGTGACCAAGGAGCCATTTGTGGTGATAAAATGTGAGGTGAACTAATATGCTCTTATGAAAATTTTGTGAGAAAATGAGTTTCTTCATGAACTCAAGTATTTGAGGAATGTGAGAATCACAGATTTGAGATGCTCCTAATGTGGGGGATTGTGATGTCCGTATGTATTATTATTGGTCATGAGACCAATGATACCTAATTGAGATTTTGCATAGCATTCCTATTATACAATAAGGTATAATGGTGCTTGTCACGCCCCAGAACCCAAATCCAGGGACGTGGCAGATGCCGTACACTTGTGAGAGGGTCTCACAAATGCATAAGGCTTGGAACTTTATCATACCACAATCTAATACCACAAAATCTGAAGATAAAAATTTTAAAATTTGCCTTGATATCATAAATCTCCAAATAAAGTCTAGCTTACAAGATCATGATTTATATCTAAAATCTATATTCAATTTACAAGATGGCTAGCCTCTAACTCGTCACTCCCCTCGTTTTTCCCCGTCCTTGACTTCGTTTCTTGAAATGGTGGATAAGGAAAAATTATAAGATAACTCAGTAAGTAAATATGAATAGCCCATGAGTAAAATTTTAGCATGCCTAATAAACAGTTTAACATAACAAAACGTTCAATGATAAACCATTAATATAGAATCAGATTTAGTTCAATAACAAAGCGTTCAATGACAAACCGTTAATGCAGAAGAAAATTCAGTAGTAGTCTCATTTATAAGTCATAGCCAGCGTTTATAAACCTCCCATTGGCGGGCACAGTAGTAACCAATGTTTTATCCCATTGGCAAGATTTCAGTAATAACCAATGTATTATCCCATTGGCAGGATTACAGAATGAACCGGTCCTATCAATAAACATGTCGACATGTGCTAGCGTTTATAAACCTCCCACTAGCAGGCACAGTAAAACATGACCATATCAGAGACAAAACCATGCAGGATTTACAAAAGAAATCCGTAATTCACAATCAATCTCAAATTTTAGAAATGACCAAAAAATTCCATGTGGGCATGGATTTAACAGAAAATCATAATTTACAAAATTTCTTAAATCATCAAAGCAGTTCAGTAAATTTCAAGTGGGCATGCTCTACTCAATGAAAATGAAAATAATTCCATTTCAAATCAATCATGCTCGGTACTAATAAAATCAATTTAAACCTTGCCACCATCTCAAAAACAATTTAAAACATGCTTTGAAATCGAAGGGCGTTACCATAATTTACTTACCTCAAATCACATAAAACTAAAGACTCAAGCCACAGACTAAAGTGCCCCAACGATCAAGAACCTAACCAAAATATTCCAAAATTAATACTGCACTATCACAAATTCAAAGTGAAATCATCATTAGGACTACCTCTAATCACGATGCTATTTCTATCAGTCTCCACATGACCGAACATCTCCAAATTTGTTCTTATATTACAAACTAAACATTTAATCCCCGTTAATTGTTGGACATTAGTGCGTGAACAATATCCGTGAACAGTGCTCGTGAACAATTATCACGCAGTGAACAATAACTGCAACTTCCAAAAATTGGCAAAACCATAGCTAATCTCACAGGATTTTTCTCCAAAATCTCACAGCAATCTATTAACAATCAAACACATAAATTCTACTTGAATCAATGCTTAAATTTGTTCTAATGCTACCGGAATTCATCCCCCTAATTCAACAAAATTCGGACAGCACATGGGGCAGTAATTCATGGACAAACTCAGCAACTAATGGATAATTTTAGGCTTAAAGGGAGCTATTACATACCAGAATTCCAGCAAGCAAAGTCGGACTGGCGGGTTTAAGGGAAGAGAAACTGCAGATCTGAAATTCCTTGCTTTATGGAGGGTTTCTAAGTCCTAATGCTTGTTATTTAACAAGAAAAGAAGGAGAAATTTCAAGCTTTGTCACCAATTTTCTCAAAGAAATGAGTCGATGGCTGGAGGGGCTTGGGGGGTGTCGGGGATGAAGAACAAGAGTAGAATTGGGCTGAAGAAGAAAGAGGAAAAGGAGAAAAAAAATAGCTGATCCTTATCCAAATCCTTTTCTCTTTTAAGTCCCTTAAGTTAGAAATTTTGGCTATCAAGTCCTAGAATAATATTTCCTCACAATCAAGTCCTTAACTAAGTGCTAAAATATCATAAAATTTTGGGATATTACAGTGCTTAACAAAGCAAATGTGATATGCACTCCTATTATGCAATAAGGTATAATAGTGCTTAACAAAGTAAATATGATATGCATTCCTATTATAGAATTATGAATGGTGTATGATGAAAAAATAATAAGGCACTTGAGAAAAGGGGTATGTGATGGACAATCCTATTGTACAACAAGGTACAATGATGTTTGAGTTAAAAAATTCTTAAGTACATGTCTCTATATGTATGGAAAGAAAAAGGTGGTTCACTAGCTCAATTTGATATCAAAAATTGTGGTACCATGAATTGAGAATTTGAGAAATATGAATGTGAATTTTAGGAGCTAATAGACATGTGAGTCAATGTGAAAAAGTGAGAAAAAAAAATGAGTTAAATCTTTTACTACGCACTATACCACCAACTAGGCCTTTTGAAAAAACAAGAGTTGGAGGAAAAACTATGATCATAGTTTAAGGTCTAGTGCTCATTGAGGGGAACGGGATTCAAGCCCAATAATGTAGAACTTCCTATGAGGATACCCAACCCGGATTCTAAGAATTGGGTTTTGAATGGGAAAAACGAATCATAGAGAAGTCGTTGTTGAAAGATGCATCAATATTTAATGGAAAATTTTCCAGTCTTATTCCTAAGGTGAGAGATTGCATCTATCCCATAACAAATTGAGGGTTGAGTTTTTTACTCTTAATGAAATTTGTAGCTCATAGAGTGGGGTGTCTTAGTTATGGGAGCACCCTTGACAAATTTCACCTATATGGGTGTCGAAGTGAGGTCGCTTTTATGAAAATTGGATGGGCAATTTTCTAGATCACCCATGAAAACTGAGATCATGCGCAAGGCCATAACACGCCAGCTATGTGAAAAACTCAACATTCAGATCATTATGTGTGTGATACAATTCTTGTATCTTTCAATGGAGTCATAGTTCAAGACTTAGTTCACTATTGACTTTGAATTAAGAATTGTTGACTCACTAAGTAAAGGTTCAAAACTTAGCTACCTTTATTATGCATAATAATCCATCTTTGCCTAAAAAAAAAGTTTATTTTTTATTAAAATAGTGGGGGAATTGTTGGAACTTAAATATTTTAATAAAAAATAAAATAATATATTTTAGAAATTAAATTTATGGTCCCATTAAAGACTTGGTCAAACTAGTTGTTGTAGGTTAATTTTCCTATTTAAGGGCACATTATTTCATAATAATTGTCTAATTTATTCCTATCATTAACTTACAAATGGAACTAGCTGTTATGGGTTAATTGTCCTATTTAAGGACACATTATTTCATAATAATTGCTCAATTTATTCCTATTATTAACTTATAAATGGGAGTTATAAGAGCATGAGTCCTATAAATAGAACATGTCTTTTTACTCAAAAAAGAGGTTCCTCCACATTCCTCTATTCTTTCTTACCTTACTTTATTTTCTAAATATTTTGGGTAAAGAATGGTGTTTTGAGTAAAGTGACTCTATGGGTAGTGCAGATCCATAGGGTATTATTATAAAGCTGTAGGATCCTAGGGGCGACATGCTTTATGTATTTCTGCTGCACCGGTTGATTTACTCTTTGCAGAGGCATGAATTGCCTTAAAGTAAGTAAGCTTTTCATGCCTATTTCGATGATATTTTCTTATCGACATTTTTTAATAAGTTCATTAATTATTATTTTATTTGATCTTGTGACTGAGGCATAACAATGACATGATGTGGAGATGGAGGAGAGTGTTTGAGGAACAACAGATAATCTGCAGCTACTGCAAAACGGAGAAGGTGGATCTCCGGCAATGAAAGGAAAGACGAAGAAGGCTGAGAGCTGAGGTTCCCTGGTGATGGAGGATGGCAATGATCGGGAATGAGGAACGGTTGTCAGAGAATGGTGATGATGGGTGAATTTTGGGAGGTTCTAGGGAGGTATAGAGTTGGTGATAAGCGATGATGAAAGTGAGGACGGTGGACGTCGATGTGCAGAAAGGAGAAGAATCGGGAGGTAAGAAGGCACTAGAAGCCCTCTTCTCCTTTTGTTTTTTTTTTCCTTTTTGGGTTGCTTGCTCTCCTTTTTTTAAAAGAGAATAAGGAAAACTAGGGTTTTTTTTTTTTTTTAATTGTTGGGTTTGGGTTTTAATGGGCTGGTTTGTGAAATTGGGTTAAGCCTTGAATTAAATGGTTAGTGGGCTCAATATTTGGGTTTGGGTTGGATTTGTTGGTTTTTTTTTTTATGAATTTCACCCTTGACTATCATTTTCTTCACATACATCCCTTTGTTGAGTTCTTTTTTCAAATTTCTTCACAAAATTTTTTCTTTTTGCATATGGCATCTGAAACAAAAATAAAAAATAAAATATATGTTAGTTAAAGAAAAGAGAAAAATTATATTTTTTATATTTTTGTGCTTTGCCTCACATTTTATAAATTTTATGATTTTCTTAATTAATTTTAAATTATATATATTTATGAAAAGTGTAAATGAACTGAATGAAAAATTAGGTTATGACAATATAATAAAATCAATTACAGTAACGATTCAAACAAACAATAATACTCCCAATGATGTGGTTTAACTAGTTAAAAACTTAAAATTTTAAGTTTGTGATATCAAGTTTGAACCTTGAGTCGGGTGAAGAAATATTTAAAAAAAAAATGGAGCTATCTTCTCATATAGAGCCTATCATTAGATGTACGAAAAAAAACAAAGAAAAATCAAGAAACAATAACAAAGAAAAAGGAAAGAGATGTGAAAATACTCCTTGATTTTCAGCATGAATGTGTTTCTTGTAAACATATGTACTTGTACAAAACTATGGAGAAATACAAGCATTTCATTTATTCTTCTTTTCTTGAACTTCTTCATGGTATCAAAGCAAAACAATCTCTGCCCATCTATATATTACCTTCTTCTTTCTCCTGTATATCATAGTGAATTAGCCATGGCCAAAACAAAACTTTTCACACCTTTTATCAAATAACAAACTTAGTTTCAGTCAAGCTTTCAAGCACCGTTATGCTTATTCTTGGTTTTTTCCTTCTTGTTTTTTGGCATTAGTTATAGTTTACCCTACTATTGCTTTTGCTGAGAATAAGCAAAATTTTTGTTGTCATGTGCAGAAAAGGAAGTATTCAAGATATGCAAGGGAGATTTGTTCTATTCTTGAGATAAGAAATCTGGGTATCTTTGCTCTTTGTTTTCTTTATTTTAATTTCAGTTTCAATATTTGATTTACAATTCTAGTGACAAATAAGGTCTTCTCAAAGCACATAGAGTGGGTTTATCTTTAAAAGGGGAACGAACCATACAATCTTTTGATTGTGCCATTCATGAATATAAGTTACAATTCCAAGTTAAATATGTTCAACATGAAAACTCAATACAAGAATCAAGTAATTGAGGAAATATATGTATGACCGACATCCTTAGCCATCCATTATTATGCTAATATAATCAATGAACCGTCCATTATTATATTAGTATAATCAATGAAAATGCGGTTGACTAAATTGATAAAATAGTTGTGGATTAGACTAATATAATTGATAGTAATTTCTTAGGTTATATTAGGGTGAGGTTATTGTCACACTTATATAGTTAATGCCACACCTTTTTAATATAATTACTTATTATATCCTTACATTACACCTTTTAAAAAAAATTATATTTTTTTGTTTGTTAATAAACTAAAGGGTATAATAGTTAATTAAAATAAAAAAGTGTGGTATTAGTAATTGAAGGTGTGGCAATAACATTACCTGTTATATTAAACTTGTCATGCCCCAAAACCCAATTTCGAGACGCGACAGACACCGTGCACTCGTGAGAGGGGTCCCACAAATGCATAAGGCTCGGAACTTATCACATCACACTCTAATACCACCAAACTCTGAAGATCAAATTATAAAATTCTCTCAAATATCATAAAATCTCCAAATACAAGATCATGATTCATATCTAAAATTTATATCCAATTACAATATGGCTAGCCTTCTAACTCGTCACTTCCCGTGGTTTCCTCGTCCTCGGTTTCACTTCCTGAAATGGTGGACAAGAAAAACTATGAGATAAACTCAGTAAGTAAAATATGGAGTGCCCCTTATTTAAACTTATAGCATGCCACATGTGCAATCACGCAAAACGGATACAGTACGGGAACGAAATAGACGTCTCCTCTATAGGTCACGGCCAGTGTTATAAACCTCCCACTGACAAGCACACAATTTACTAGTGTATAATCCCACTAGCAAGATAACAGAAACGAACCGGTTCTATCAGTAACATGTCGACATGTGCTAGCGTTTATAAACCTCCCACTAGCAGGCACACGAATAACATGACCATATCGGAGACAAAACAAGCAAAAGTTAACAGAAAAATCACAATTCACTATCACTTTCAAATCATCAGGACAATTCACAATCACTTTCAAGTAGGCATGCTCAATTTAATGAAAAACATAAAACATTTCACGTCAAATCAGTCACACTTGTGTAAAACGGGTTTAGTCTCGCCACCACTTCAAAAACAAATCAAAACATGCTTTTAAAACAGTATGGGCATTACCATAAATTTACTTACCTCACTCGCATAAAACCGAGCACTCAATTCACATACTAAACTGACAAGACGATCAAGAACCTAATCAAGATATTTCAAGAATTAATACCACTATCACAAATTCACACTGAACACTTCATTGGATCATTCCTAATCACAATGCTATTTCCATAAATCTCCACATGATCAAATATCTCCAAATTCGTTCTTATATCACAAACTAATCATTTAAATTCCCGTTAAATGTTGGCCCTCGGGGTGTGAACAGTAACCCATGAACAGTACCGGTGAACAGTGACCCCGATGTGAACAGTAACTATAATTCCAAAATTGGCCAAAACACTAGCTAATCTCACGGGATTTTCTCTAAAAATCACAGCAATCAACTCAAGCAATTTACACATGAATTAAGCAACAAAACACACTTAAAACCCCTCTTAATTGCTACCAGAATTTCCCCATTTCCTAGCCAAATTCGGACATCACAAGCAGCAACTTTAAATGGATAATTTAAGCCTTAAAAGGCTGTCACATACCAGAATTTACAAGCAAGGAACCGGACCTAGCAGGGGGAAGAAGCCGGCGGCAGTGCAGGGGAGAAACTCACGGAACTACCCAAAATTGGAGGAAATAAGAGCAATCAAAGTTAACCCAAGCCAATTCAAGCAAGAACAAAGGAATTAGGGGCTGTTCTTACCAAAAAAAGGCCCAGAAATCACCCACAATCAAGAGCAGCTGGCGGAAGGACAAAGCAGAGCAGGGCAGATCCGGCTTTTCCAGCAGGGGGGGGAAGATTTCTGGGTTCTAGGTGTGTTCTAGAGCAAGAAAGGAAGGAGAAAACCAAGCTTATCTCGCCGGTTTCTCAAAGGCATGGCTGGGTTTCCCTTTTTTTTTCTTCGGGTGGCTGCAGTGGGAAGAAGAAGAGCAGAATCGGGTCTGAGGAGGAAGAAAAGAAAGAAAGAAAAAGAAAGAGAAAAGAAGTCATCCTTATCCAAAATCTTTCCCTCTTTAAGTTTTTCAACTTTTGAAATATTCACATTAGGTCCCAAAACAATCTTTTCTCACAATCAAGTCCCTAACTTACACTTAAATATTCTCAAAAATTTGGGATATTACAAAACTAAAACACTAAATCCTAATACACAACCTTGCAAAAATTAATTGAATCTTTTAAGCCTTTATACCATTAATTTCTTAAACTCTAAAATTTAAATCTCAAACACAAAACACTAAGCTTCGATACACATACACTAAACATACATTAAATTCCAAATAAGCCTCCATGCCCTAAACCTTCATATTTTAAACAAAAAAACACATATATTAAACCAAATTAGAATCCTTAAATCTTTAAAGTGAAATTCTTAATTTTATGACTAAGTAAAACCTTAAAACCCTAAAACCCTAAACCCCAATAATATAATTGAGGAACACTCTATCAATTATACTAAATTAATAGAATAGTTGTCGATTATATAATCTAAATCCTAAACCCACACAAGCCTTAAACTTAATTAAACCCTTAAACCCCTTAAACTATTAATTCCTTAGACTCTTAAACCTAAATCTCAAACAAAAATCACCAAGGGCCTATTTGAATTTGCTCTTGAAATTTAACAAATAAGTGATGGCTGGTAGTTGATAGTTGATGGCTGATAGTTGATAGTTAATAGTTATTATTATTTGTAATTAGTGTTCATTAATAGAGCTACTAGTTGTTTCTAATATGTTGTACCTATGATTTTGATGATTACAAAACACATTTGATTAACTAATTGGTTTATTTAAGTGTATACTTGAACTCCTAAAATATTGCAAAATTAAGTGAACTTGGATTGTACTAAAAATAGGACCAAAAATGCTAAAAGATGAGCAAAGTGCCGGTTTCAGAAATCTGCAATTGGCTTTGGTGAAGGTAAGTGTAGAGAGTCAGCTCTAAGAGATGTAGCCGGCTCTATGGGAAAAAAATTCAAGATTGTAGTTTGGTGTACGCAGAAAATAGACGCAAAGCTGACTATATCTTTGCAGCTAGCTGTGATGACGTATTTAATTCCCAACGGTCTAGTTATTCAAAGAATATTTTAATCTTTTGAAGTTGGATTTCCTAAGTTGGATTTCCTAAGCTGGCTTTACGTTTTTGTAGCCGACTCTTGAGAAAAATAGAATGCACAGGAAGGTCGTAAAGTCGGTTTTAGAATTCAAAGCCGGCTTTAGAATTCAAAGTCAGCTCTAAAAAGTTGGCTCTAAAAAGCTGGCTCTAGAGTTAAAGCCGACTCTACTAACAAGTTTGCAACTCAAACTTAATCAATCTGCAAAGCATTTAATGACCCCCAATGGTTAGAAATGGCTATTTTTAACCAAAGGGCTATAATTATGGTTGATAGCAAATCTGGAATAAGTTTTTGAGTATTGTATTGAATATCTTTACCTACCAACTTGTATTTTAACTTGACTTTGGGATCTTTGAGTGATTTTTGCTTGTAATTCTCTTCTTGTTCTATTTGTGTGTTATCTTGGGGGTGTGATTATTCCTTGAAGAGTGATTTATAGAGAGGATTCTTATGATTTATCTTGTAAAGGGGTGAGATTTAAGGAAAATACCATTATTCTTGTAAAATGATTGAATGGCTCGTTTAAGCCACTCTTGTTTTTCTTAGTGGAAAACATGGAGGAAATCCTTGGTGAGTAAAACCAAGGTAGAGGACTAACTTCTAAGTGGTTGGACTAAATCTTTATAAAATCATTGTGCGATTTCTTCTTTCCTACTCTTTCTTTAATTTTTGTTTGGTGGTTGTAAAGAGATGAAAATTTTTTAACTCCAATTCACCCCTCTCTTGGAGTGCATTGAGCCAACATAATAAAGTGTTAAATTACCATTAATGATATGTTTCATATTAGTTAAATTAGTTTTTTTATTTGATTTAATTATTTTATCATTTTTATAATAATAATAATAACACATTTTCTTAACTTCAAACTTGATGAGATGCGTTTTGTATGCTTTAATTTATTATTTTAAGACTTGATTTTGTTACTATTTGTGTGGATAAGATGTGATTTTCAATAGAGTTTAGATAGTTTTCGTTCTTTGTATAGAAAATGCATAATAATATGTGTTTTGGGGATTGATTGAATAATTTTTGAAAGTTGAGGGACTGAATTTCAAGAGGAAGGTTCTTTTCAAGGACCTAAATGAATGAATCAGAAGTTACAGAATCAAAGGCTCATTTTATAAAAGTTGGAGGACTAGATCTGTCATTTTACCATTAAAGAAATTGCAATGGGGCGCAGAAACGGACACTTGTTTGGTCTCGACGTTTACATTGTGGTGTCAGCACTGTGCTTGAAGCCTTAAAAGACAGGTTTCGCCTGCAATAAACAACAGCTCTATAACTTACATTCTGGTGTTGACGCTAAATGCCCTTTCAACACTTGACTCATCAAAACCTAAAAAGGAAAAGCGACAAAAATAAAAAAGAAATAAAACACTTTTATTTATTTTAAATAAAGTCATACTAAAGTTCAAAATTAAAAATGAAAAAATGCTAACATGATTAATAAAAATTATCATAATTAATAATTAACTTCTTGCTAACATTAAATATTGTGCAATTTTCTCGCATAATTCATATATAAGAATTTCTATCTCCATGTGAAGAATTCACTTGAGAAGTTGTTGATTGTCATGTAAATTTTGGAATTCATTAGTTGGTACAAAATTTGAATTTTGATTAAATCTAATGAATGTTGGATCTGCTATAACTTTCTTTAGAATAAAATTATGTAAAGTCATTGATGCAATCACAATATCTCTTTGCACTTCAAATGGATATGGCAACATTGCTTTTGGTATCTTCCATCTAGCCTTCCAAACTCCAAATGTTCATTCAATGCAACTTCTAAGAGAAGAGTGCCACCAATTATAAATTTCTTTAAACCCTCTAGGTCAAGCACCATGTTGAAACTCAAGTAAATGGTATACTATTTCCTTATATGGTCCAAGATGGCCTTCCATCCGAATATTCAGTATCCATTAAATAACATTTCCCTATAAAAATTTACAAAATATGTTATAAAATTTTTTTAGGAATAGCCTTTGGATAATATTTCTTAAGTATTAAATACATATTATAATATAACAAGTACAAATTATAAATATTTTGTATTATATATTTTACATACTAGGTGGAGAATAACGGAAATTTAATTCTTTGTTACAAATGACATTTTGGAAAACTTGTGCATCATGTTCTACTCCTTCCCATCCCATTAATATGAATGAGAACAAGGATTATAATGATATCTCATAGTGAATCTAATTTGTTACTAAATTTCAATTTCTTGAGAAATCTCACCTTTTACTGATTTCATATAATATTAAATGTAACCATACGTAGATTAACTTAAGCTGACCAGTCCTAGAAATTTAGAGGATACAACCATTTATGCTGTTTGGATGAATGTGCAGAAAGGAAAGATGTGAAGTTATTAAATCCCCAAATGTGTTTGAATGAACGTGCCAAATTTAAACTATAAGATGCTATAGCAACCAACAAGGAGAACCTATACAATCATAGCAGAAATAGGTCTAAAATAAACCCATGAATTAGTAACTATAATTACAATGTTGTGCAACATTATGCGTAAAAGAATGTTAAAAGCTTAAGAGCAAACAGCTGAAAATATTTGGACAAAAAGCAAAAGAGTGGCTTCGGCTCACTTGAAGGGGCTATGTTTAGATGGTTATCTTGGAATGAAAATTAGTTGTCAATATGGCATGAGGGCAAGAAGTTGGGAACCATTTAATGAATTTGATAGAATCATGAGGAGAATCTATAACGAATAATTAAAAAAAAAAAAAAGACTAAGCTAAAATAATAATAAAAGTCAATATGCATTTTTGTCTAGTTGGCAAAGATAATTATATTAACATTCATTTACAAAGGGTACTTCAAACTAATTAACAAAATGAAGATCATCAGACTAAAATAATGTGCTTCGCAAATTATAAGCCCTATAGGACCAAACAATATAGTAATAAATCCAAAAGTCAGATCATAGCAGCAAACTTAAAAAGTATAACATCTAAAAGAATAAAATATAACAACCAATTATAGATGCTTAAAAATTCCAAAATGCAGAGCATATTTATTCTTTCCTTTTTTTATTTGCATGCTATCCTAGGAAAACTATACCAAATATCATTAGATAAATCTTGTAATAAATTAAAGAAAGTTAAAAATGCATTAAAGAAAGAACCTAGATATCAAATTACTAAATGTTTAAATTGAAATTCCAATATTCTAGCGTCTAAACCAACGGTAGTGCAACACCAACCTAAGCCTCAACCACATAACTTAAATATGAATCTATTCAAATTTCAAATGTCTTGACAAAAATAAAAGAGACCAACGAACACAGAGGATATGGAAAAGATCATGAAAGAGAAGAATATCCAAAAAAAAATGAGAAAAATCATTCCCAGAGGTGTTAACATGATATTTGCATGAGCTAAATGGTGAAGACATGCCACAAATCAGACAATTTTTTTCACACTCAATAGCTTCACACAAACACAAAATGGCACAACCTAATTTGCATAAGTAGAAAACAAATAACAAGTTCTTTTTGACCTCCTTCAATATAAAAGAATTAAACTGGCAATATAGATTCCATATAAGTTCTTAGCAGCAATTGTAAAAGTTGGTATACATGATTGAATTTGGAGCAAGACAAACATAGCTCCAAATCCCATCTGATCAAAACAATATCTTGGTCTCCCCCAAAGCCTCATAATATAAGATGGTATATGGGTGTTGGGTGGTGGACAACACACAGCAAAACATTAATCGTTGTTATCACTGCTAGAAAATGGACCTTATTTGGTTAAGTAATTTGACCAAATAAATGATAATTTTGTTTGAATAAAAACTATTTTGATCAAATTTTTTTATCAAATTGTTGCTTTGAATATCCATTGTATGAAATAGTAATTTGGAAAGAATTTAATCTTGACCAAAATATTAGTTATTTCAGTTCGATATTTTATTCGAAATAGGGCTTGGAAAAGAGCAAAAAGCACAATATGTATGGACAAATATTTTGATCGAATATAAATAATTCTTATAATTCGGTCAAAACTAATGACCAAATAAAGAGTGAAAATAAGTGCTAAAGATTATTCATGGACATTTATTTATTTATTTTTTATCTTAGTTGCATAATGGGAGGCAACCATCTCACATCCCTTATCCTACCCCACCCGCATGCCATGTGACTTGAATTCATAACCTCTTACCTCTAGTAGAACGAGATGATTACTGAGTTACTTAGGTCGTTGGCTTCATGGACATTTATTTCGGTCAAATCTATTGATCGAAATGATAGGATTTTTGGGTCCTAAATTTTATTGGAATTAATTGTGTAAAACAATTCCATTGAACTTTATTTTGATCTAATATTATGACCAAAATAGTGGGTATAATTTGGGAATGGAAAAAATTGAATTCTTATTTTCCCGAACTTTATTTCGGTCATCTATATTGACCAAAAAATTTACTTGTAACAAAAAAATATATAATATGTTGCTTGTTATCAAATATTTTCAAATTCTATTAAATACATATAAATTGGAATATAAAAATTAATAGATTGTTTAAAACATTTGTAATTGATCCATAATAATAAAAGATTCTCTAAATATATTGATAATAATTGTAAATTATATAATTTGGCAACAAAATATAATTTTTACATTTTTATGCACTAAATAAATAAAAATAATAAAAATTAAATCATAAACATGCAAAAATTGTAAATAAATCATACCTCACTTTACATCAAACCTCATTTTATTTCCTCCAATTACTAAAAAACAATAAACACGCAAATGAGTTAATTTCATCATAAATAATTGCTTAAAAATATCAATATAAATTACAAGATAAAAAAGTAAACAAATGTATAGAAAATTTAGATATGAGAATGAATTTAATGGCAAACAATATACCTTCAAAGTGACGAACCAATTTACAAAGAATGAAATCCTACAAAAAAATAATAGAAATCATTAATAAATTAAAATATAATATAATTAAATGAAATAATGGAAACCAAAAATAAATTTACATAATATATTCTTAATGAAAAATGATTAGTACACACTCAATTCAACACATTTTCTCATGCATTTTTTAATACACTTGGTTCAATCATTAAAAATATGATATAAATATAGTTAATTCAGTTATTTTGTTGCATCTTGTATGCATAATTATATCTCTAAACTTGTTTATTTTTAATTTCAAACTAAGAGATAGTGATTTTTGTAATGAATGTGTTGTGCAATATATTGAACTAAATGTGTACCAATTACTATCCATTTTTAATAAAATTTAACAAATGAAAAGAAATGGAAGTGATTAAGTCAAAATAAATGGAAGAAAAAGGAATTTGTAATTAGGTAATATAAAAATAAAGAAGAGGCGAAAGAAGGACGGAGAATTGAAAGGAGGAGTGAAGAAGGAGAAGGAGAAGTGAAAGAAGAGAAAGTGAAAAAAGATAAGTGAAAGAAAGA